CTCAAAAACAAACAAACAAACAAAAAAACAACAAACAACCCCAAAGAATAATAAAGACCCAGAGAATCTCTAAAGCTCCAGGCCAAGGGGCTGGGGATTTAGCTTAGCAGCACAGTCCCTGCCTGGCAAGCCCAATGTCGTGAGTTTGATTCTCGGTACCGGAAAGAAAACCAAAAAAATAAAAAAAAATAAAGCTCCTGGCCAGAGCATATCAGTGTTAGATCTAACACCCTGAACTTCAGTAACCTTTTCCGCATTCCAACTTCATTATTGGTTTATATGTAGGGACCACATATTAATTGTGTATTAAAATGGAGTGTAGTCTGGGAGAGTCATATGTACTATGGGGCCCAAGATGACTCATGCCCTCCCAATCATTTCTGTCAATCATATTCAGAGAAATGCGGTGAGAGGCACGCAGGGCCAGGGTGCACACCTTTTAATGTCTGAAAGTCTGATTCATTTTCATTCTTCTTATTCTTCTGTCCTGGCACCACTTTGCCCATTCATGCCGCCTTCTCATTTCTGCTGGCACGAACCCAACCACACCTTCCCTGTTGGCTTCAATAAATATATCTGCTTTTTCTTTTATCAATGGGTATACACTTGCAATCCTTTGTTTGCCATACACAGCAACCTGGAATCTATCTCTCCAATACACCATGCATGGTATCAGATTTATAGTATTGGAAGCAAAACACAGGCTGAACTTACACACTTATAATATCATTCAGGCTCTTAGAAGTGAGAACCCTGAAAGAAGAAAAAGTTTATTGGGTGAAAAAGTCACTGTAATCTTGGGTAACTTTGATTATGACTTCAAGCTACAGTTTCCTCAAAATTACAATTTTATTTTATTTATTTATTTATTTATTTATTTTTGGTATCAGGAATGGAACTTGGGACCTTGCACTTGCCAGGCAGGCGCTTGTACTGCTGAGCTACATCCCCAGCCCAAAATTACAATTTTAAAACTACGATTTCCTTGTCTTTTTGTTTCTTTGCTTTTTTTTCTTTTTTTTTCAGTTTTTGAAAATTTCCCCGTTTATTTTTATTTTCTCAAGTTGCTACAATGAAAATACACTGCTTAGGTAAAAAGATTAAATAATTAAAATTATTTATTCAACTGAAGACAAAAAAAATCCAGAATAAGCTTCACAGACTGAAACAAGAAGAGCAGGCAGGAGCACAGGCACCTCTCCTGGGAGCATTACCTATGCAGGGCATCCAGCGGACCTGGAGCCAGGAAGCTATCCCCAGTGGCATCAGAGGATCTCACAGTAAAGGCAAAAAAGCGGCATCTTGAGAATGCCTCCTGTGCTTCTTTGCTTTTTTGTGACAGGGTCTTACCATGTAGCCCAGGCTGGCTTTAAACTCCAAATCCTCCCTCCTCGGTTCTCCAGGTTCTGGGCTCACAGGCATGTGCCACCACCCGTGGCTTTCTTCTTACTTTTATTTCTCTATCTCACCTTATTTTGCTTCTTGCGCTTTTCCTATCAGCCTAGCATCATCTCTTCAGATCATTCTTCCCTAACCATGATATCTCAAGTCCTCTTGGCATTTCCTTTCTCAGTATCTCTTCTCAGATACTAATTCTTTTTACGTTTTTGCGTATTAACTTATTTTATTCTTATTTCTTCCTCCCAATCTCCCCAACTTCAAAAAGGTAGAAACCAGGTCACTCTGGTATGCCCACTATCTTCCTCACTTTTCACACAACGCCAGATTCATAAGTGAGACTCGGATATTTATCAGGTAAGTAACTGCTCTACCACCTAGATCCCTTTCTACCCACAGAACACTGCTTTTTAAAAAATTTTATTGGTACATTTTAGATATACATAATGATAACATTCACCATAGGGAATCTACACGATACATCTTGCTGCTGCTGTTTTTCTTTTTCTACAACAAAACCAATTCTCCAGCCCTCTGGACATCACCTGTCATTCGATTCTGACACTGACTACAATCCCATTCAGTTATGACACTAACTTGTAGTTATCATCAGCCCCGCAGGTTAAAGGTGTTGGTCTCACAAAGCTGCCTCCAGGGAAACTGGGAATCCTATGAGAAAAACGCTCAAAATCATTAATACTAGATAAAAGATGAAAAATAATATAGAGAAGAGAAAAAGGGGAAAGTAACCATGGAGATCATTCACTCAGAAAGTATAGGTGATGTTTTCTATCTTTAGGGACTGAGCAGAGCGCTGGGCACACAAAGAAACAACAGGCGGTCACGTCGTACCTGGGCAGAAGCCACGGGGAGCCGTCTTCGTGGGAACCAGCAGCGGGCCCACATGGCAGGCGGCGGCGTCCTGTGTGGAAACGGGGAATTCTCCTGTGTCCTCAGTGGAGAGGGGATTACTGTGTCATAAAATGTTCAGTTTGGAAGGAAAAGTGCCAGGAAGAATAAGGAACTAATAAAGGCCGTCTAGTAAATGAGGCCAGCATGTTTATAAAAAGATGGTGTGGACTTGGTCCAGTCTCTCAGGAAACTGCTCCACTTCCGAACTCATCTTGCACCCCGCATGCCTGATGCTCTGCCAGACTCACCAGCTGGCAGGTGGCCAGCCTGAGGGAGGCACCGTGGTCCTCCAAGGAGGGTGGACAGAAGGTGTCACGTCACCCTTACTGATTTATGAGAACGTCACTTTTAATTCAACAAAACTCCAAGTGAGTCAGATGTTCCCATTTTGTTTTCAGATGAGTAACAATAACTCGGAGAAAGTAAATGATTTTCTCAGGATCACACAACAAATAAGGAGCAGGCTAGGGTTCAGACTCAAGTCCATCAGGGTCTAAAACTCCTGCCTTTAACTGTGACTTATTACCTGCTTACAAAACACCAGCTATCCATGCTGGCATTCAGCGTGGGAGATTTCCCCTTTCAGATAAGATTCTAGATATAAAACAGGAAGGAATCAGCCAGGGAAATGTTGGGCTGGAAGTGAAGGGATCTTCTCTCCTGTCCCGTCAACTCTGTCCACCCTTGCCCCACTTACATGTGATTGAACATTTGTCTGAGTCTGTTTTGTGCTGCTGTAAGAGAATTCCTGAGGCTGGCTAACTCAGCAGGCACAGCAGTTTCCCTGTCAGGATCGTAGTGGCTAGAGGGGCCAAAGAGCATGACACCAACATCCTGGCTGTTACAACATGGTAGACAAGTGAAAATGAAACCACAGGCACAAGGGACCAAGGGCATGGATGGTCAGTCTGTGGTCTCTGCATTTCTAGAGAGAAGAACTCAATAAGAATGAAAGGGTGAACCAAAGGAATTCTGTGGCTGTACCAGAGGAAGCATCATGGCCACATTTTGCACACAGCTTTTTCCAGTGTCTTTGCACAAGGGAAACTGATTGACATACATACAGACAACCTGGAAAAATCTAGAGCATATACGGCAGTCTCAGGCAAAAAGTTTCACTGAACTACCAGGTATGGTGGTGCATGCTTGTAAACCCAGCTCTTGGAAGGCTGAGGCAGGAGGATTGTTGAGAGTTCAAGGGCAGCCTGAACTATATCACTATGCAACAAGATCGTGTCTCAACAAATAAATAAATAAATTTAGAAAGTTTCATTGCACTTAAAAGAGCTTTCTCAATACTTGCTTCTTTATAATAACCAGAAGAGAACCAAAGAATATGGGATAAAAATTGAGAAGAAAGTGGCTGTGGTATAGCTCTGTGGTTGAGTGCTTACCTAGTAGCGCAAGGCCCAGCACTGGGGGAAAAAAGGTAACAAAAATTAATCTTTTCACTTAAGGAGAGAATTCTCTAAGTGGGAAAAGACTCATTTTCTTTTGTTTTCCTTTTGATTGCATGCTGAGAAATGGCTCAGTAATAGAGATATAAATTCCGTGTCAATCCTAACTGGCAGCTGGCAGAGGAGTTTGAGGGCTTCTGACGGGTGTGGAACTATGCACACAGAGGTGTAAACCACTGGGCAGTAAGAAAGAGCTGGGCTAATTAGGGGTCCTGGTGGGTGAGGCAGAGCCTGCCCTGTCTCACTGAGGCTGAGCCCTAAAAGGAGGTGCATAATGCCGAACCTCCCCCCAGGCCTGGGGACAGGGGACCCCGGAACCCCAATATATTCAGTGAGCATTTATGAATCTGTTCTACAAAGTGTGCATTGAAAAACTATATATCCCTTCAAAATCTTTAGTAACATCTACTGTGCTCACTAACACTTTTATTTATTTGCTTATTTATTTTCGCCATTCTGAGGATGGAGCCCAGGGCTTCATCCAAGTGTACTACTGAGCTATACCCCAACCTTCCATAATGCTTTTAGCACAAATGGGTTCATTCTGGGAACTCAGAAAGGTACAAAGCACTCTGTACCACTGGGCCCAGCACCCACACAGAGCCCAGTTCTCCTGGGGCATTGGCATTATACCCCCACACACAGAAAATGTCTTGAAAGACGCTAAATGTTGCACGGCAAATTTTCTTCTCAAGGAAACTACTGGCTGTGGTGGAGATGACCTGCAGGATTTCAGAAGCACCAAGTTTTACTTTGGGCGCAGTATTCATGATGGATACCTCAGCCTTGGTCATCGTTCAATAAATCTCCGTGGAGCCCCTGCTCTTCGCTAGACTCTGCAGACAGAGTGGCCAATCAGGCAGAACCAGTTGTTGCACGCACTGCGCCCGGGCCTAAGTCAGGCTCTCAGAACCAGAAACATTCTGAATCCTGCTGGATATATGCACAACTGGGCCAGTTTTCATCCCCCTATACAAGTATTTGTTGTTTTGTGGCAGCACTGAGGATTGAACCCACGGCCTTTGCTCTGAGCTACATCCACAGCCCTTTTTTAAAATCTGAGACAGGGTCTCACTAAGTTGCTAAACTGCCCAAGCTAAGTTTAAAATTGCGACCTTCCTGCTTCAGCCTCCCAGAGTGTTGGGCTTATAGTTGTGCGCCATTGTGCTTGGTTTCTGATTCCTTTCATGACAGCCTAGACAGGGCTTGTCCTGGAACAGATTGAGACCATTCTGAATTGGTCCGAATAGGCTTATATTTAAATATGTCCCAGATAATAAAGCAGAAAGCATGCCCTATGGGATCTGAAAGCAGGAGTACAGTTTGTGAAGTACCGCCCCAGGCTCGGCTCCTCGGGTTTCAGGCAGGGCCTCTATGTGGCTGCTTCACGGCCATGTCCTTCTTTCTCTGTGTCCTGGGCTGCGCTTTCACTCTGCCCCCTTGCCCTCCGCTGGGAGCTCTCCTCCCAGGGTTCACTTCAGTGATGCTTCTCTTGAGATGGAAGTGAACCTGAAAAGGAAAGAGCAGAAGCTGGGAGGCCAGTGCAGATTCTCTTTCAGCACTGCAGGCTCCGAGGCCCGAGACTTGGAAGAATCCTTACAGCGGTGACCCAGAGCAGAGCAGTGCTGTCCTGTAGACTCAGCTAATACTCTTCCCCAAAGCAGTGCAAAATCACTGGTGGTACGTAGGGTGTGGCTGAACAAATTATACATTTATTTTATTTGTCTTAGAAAAAAATATTTCTACCCCTTAAACTATGATTTCACCAATACCGTTCTTTGGACAAGAGCTATGATTGATGGTGTCCTAATACCCAGCTCCCCTGTGCTGACGGTGAGTCACAGTGGCTCTGCTCAGGCCTGCCAAGTGCCTCACCTGAGCCGCACTGCTTGGCAACAGAGATAGGAGAGATGACATAGATTGCGGTACGGATCCTGAGACCCTAAATTTCCACGGGCATCTGCATCCTTTTGAAGGAAACAAACTGGGGCTTCCCTTCTGGCCAGGCACACATGAAACGATGCCTTTGACTGACGGATGTGCGGGGAGCAGCAGAGCTCTGGCAGGCAGCAGCAAAAGAGGGAGTGGTGGCGTTCTCACCGCACCACACGTCCCTGGGGCTCGCCTGGCTGCCCCGCCCTTGGAACACTTGAGCTGCTGAAGCCAGCTGGGAGTTAAAAACATGCCCCTGACTGAGAGGCCTCTGTGGTGCTATTTCCTGCCCTTTCCACAAAAAGCCACAGCCGGTTCTGCTATTTCTTTAAGAGGGGGAATGGGGGAATCAGAATTGACTGTGCTGTACCATTCTATTTAGTAGTACAGAAATTTAGGAAGGAAAGGAGGGCTGAAGAGGGGAGAGAGAGAGACAGAGACAGAGAGAGAGAGAGGGAGAGGGAAAGAACAAAACAAGCAAAGGACACAGGAAAACAAAAGGAGCCACACATCTGGACGCCATGGGGAAAGCAATGAGAACACTGGACCTTGGAAGACATTTTAGCGTGTCTAAAATAGGAACATGAAATCCATTTAGTAAACAGTCTTTTTTCCTTTCTTTAGCCAGATGGCTATCTGCTTTCAAATGGGGAGAGAAACAGACTGTTCTGATCAATAAACAGACTCTTAGTTGTTACTGCCTCCAGCTACTGGCCCGTGATTTGCTTTTTGGGTGTAATAAAGAAGAAAGGAAAGAGGCTGCACTGGTTGGAGAATTGGGATCAGCTCAGTTTGCAGTGGAAAAGTTACTTTTCTTCCTGCATCTGCAAATACAAGTAATTGTAATATGTAAGAGTTGGTAGTAGAGGGGCTGAGGTTGGGATTATCTTGAACTTTCAGAAAATTTTTCAAATGACTTAATTTTTTACCCTGATCTGTTAAAACTGCGGGGTACGAACACTGACCGTGGCAGTGAGCCGTTAGCTTAGGAGGCAACTCGAAGAGCCTGTGGTGAGTTTAATGCCTCGCTCCCACCACTTTCTCATGGAGTGACACGGTATGACTTATTTTCTCTAACTCTCAGGCCCCATGGGCAGAAATGAGGGTACTTATTTACCGTATAAGGTTGTTGTGAAGGGCAGTGATGTAATTCTGGAAAGCTCTCATACAGTGACTGATACACAGCACCTATTCCACAAATAGTTCCCATTGCTGTAATTAAAAAGATGCTCCGCTTGCCTTCGCTGTGCTGAGAAAGGGAGAGGGAGCCTACTACACTCTACAGCTGTCAGAGATGGAGGAGGACAGAATGAGGGGGCCTTACGAAGGCACTGGCTTAGGAAATAAGGTCCATAGATGGGCATTAAGCAGGACCCCATCTACTTTCTCATTTTAGACACCTAAGGATTAGTGTACTTGACCTCTGAGCTCTTAACGCTCCGAGAGTCCACTCTACTCTAACCTAATTGGAAAAGTTCCAGGCTGCAAATCAAGGAGGTTCTTCACTTCTTGTCCTTCCTCTACATGGCCACAGAGACGCGGGGTGCAGCTGGCTCTCAGCTGCAGCAAGCAAAAACCCAGCCTGCGTGCACCCACGGGGCACTTGAAGGCCGTAGAGCGCCACCTGGTGACAGTCCTTTCTGATGGCAGTGATAATACAACTATAGGAACCAGGGGTATCTGGGCCAGCGTTCCGGGATTTACAAACTAACCTTTGTTGAGCGCTTGCTACCGTGTCAGTCACTACTAAACGCTGCATGTGCAATTTCTCTTTTCAGTCTCTTGCAAAAGAGTTACTATTCACGCCAGTTTGCTGAGAAGAAAACCAAGGCTAAGAGATTAGGCAGCGTATCCAAGTTAAACAGAAAAATGAGGAAAACCCTAAAGGATACAGGGAAGTACATAACAGGAGAGTGATCAAAGAAAACTGAGGATAGGAGAGAACGAGGTGAAGCTCAGCAAAGATTATGCAACTGGTTGTTGAGACATGGTAAAAGTGATATCTGAACTGTTGTGTGAAACACAGCCGGACTCACCAGTGTTGGTTCTGCGGGACCCACAATTGCAACCACTGTCTCTGGGTTGAACCCGGGTGCTGTGGCTGTGACAGTGTAGGTACCTGGGAGCAGCAGCCGGAAGTAATCACCACGTTCACCTAAGAGTTACAAGGACATAACTCAGTCTGCTGACGAAAGACCCAGCCCAAACGCAAACTTGATTTGAAAGGGGATCTGGACATGTTAGCTGACCACAGGTTTGGTTTTTCCTAACAGAATGATAAAACTGACGCAGAGCTAAATCAGTCATAAGCACGGTCCTTAATGGGAACAGCTGCTAGAAAGAAGGTTGATTGTGCTCTACACTGAAAGATTTGTGTTCTTTTCTAGAGGCTGTATTTTAATACAGACTCATTTCCAATACAGATTCAGTAGGAGAGAGGAAAGGTTAAAGTTAATTCTTCACCTGGTTAAGGAAATCATTTGAGACCTCTGTTTTGATGTTTGACAAGCCACTCTGAAGAGATGGTGTTTACTTAAAGAAATAAGAATGAGAACTATGGTTTTAACTTGCAGGGAGGCTGATTTTGCTAGACAGAGAAGAAACTGTCATGCTAAACACAGTTACTACAGAAAAGCATAATGTTTGATAAAATTAAGAGCACTCAAACAGAGGCTAAGTCAGAAACCTTGGAAAAGCTGCTCAGTTGAGCAGTGCACAACCTGCCTCAACAGCCATGGCAATCTTAAATTGGATAATCTGTGGTCAGTAGTGTTGTACGCATGTTATTTTATATGTAGTGGGAGGAGTGGACTAAATGCCTACCAAAGATCTGCTTTGGAGAATCATATTTTTAATATCTCTTCCGTTACTTTCAAAAGTATGCTAAAGGTGAAATAAAAATCAAAAGAAGTCTATTTTTCTATGGCAACATAGCATTTTGGCTAATGACTTTCTGTTCTTGTGGCACCATGATATCTTTAAATTTTCCTTTAAGTGCACAGTAATAGATAATTGCAATAATAAATGCAATAAAGAATGATGCAGGCAATAATGAGGAAATCTTTTTTTTCTACCACCTATTAAAGGTCTATAGTAATTTACAAAAATTCTTTAGCAAAGGCAGCGTGTTATTATGTATATATCGCCAGGCATAGTGGAGCACGCCTGTAATCCCAGCACTCGGGAGGCTGAGGCAGGAAGATCGTTGCCAGTTCGAGACCAGCCTGGGCTACAAAGTGAGCTCAAGGCCAGCCTGAACTGCATAGTGAGACCCTGTCTCAAAAAGACAAAAAAAAAAAAAAAGAGTCATATTATGTATATATCGAATAGTTTAAGTCATAGCCCAGGGGCTGTCATTTTCTTAATTGATGGCTCACACTCAGGAGTAGTTAGCATTGTATCAGAAAGACCCCATTCCAGAAGCATCTAGGAAGGGCCCAAAAGCTGTCTTTATCTCTAATCATCACTAAATGCTTTGCTAAGTAGCATAATGAATGCTAGCAATAGGTTTTCTCATTATTTCATCTATTTCACTAGTCAACTTGTTAATTTTAGCACAATGAATGTTGCTAAGTGAGCACCTCTTGATGAAATCAGTGGCATTCACTACTGATGCCTAAAAAGTTTGAGAGACAATTAAATATTTACTGATCTCTTATGTCCTTGCTTAACCGGAGTATGAGAATTAGCGAGCCTTGAAGCCTGTGCTGTTAGGGATGGTGCCTGAAGTCTGATTCCTGAACAGCATGGATCCAGCTACTGGATGGGAGGATTCTGGTTGTCTGATGCCTATAGGCCAGTGATGGTGAACCTTTTAGAGCTTTCAGTGATACCAACAGACTGCTGCAGCACGCATGTCATAGATTTGCCACCACTGCTATAGGGGATAGAATTCTGCTTTTCAAATATTTTCTTTCCCTTAAAGAACATAAAGCAGAGGTTTCATCTAGCTTAAACAGACAGCCTGCTTGGTAATAAATATTTGCCTGGTGAAAATGTGGCTGAATCTTGCTGGATTTGAGGTATGGTGAGTTAGGGAAATTTCACCTACCCTTAACTACTGCTAACCATTAAAAACAAACAAGCAAAACCCTCAAGGATTGCGCAGGATCAGGTTGAGTTGGGTCAGTCAGCAGCACCATTCTTCTGTGAGATAATTTGTTACGGTTTCTATCTAAATGTCGCCTTAAAGCCTCATATAGTCATAGGCGGGGCTTTTCAGAGGTGGTTGGATCTAGGGTGTATGATGCTGGAATCAAAGATGTGACTCTGGGATTGATTCATGATAGGATGCTAGGATTAAGGCTGCCCCACCCTGCTGTGAGTGCTACCCACCCTAAAGGTGTGTAACCTGGATAAACTATAAGGGATAGAAAGAGGGTCCCTGCTTGCTGCTTGTAGCTTGCTGCTTGCTGCCTTGCTATCTTCTCTGCCTGCCATGAACTATTTCTCCTCTGCGATGCCCCTCTGCCATGCCTCCCTGCTTTAGAACCGGCCAACTATGAACTGAAACCTTTACAAACTGTGAGCCAAATAAGCCTTTCCTCCTTTAACTTTGGGTGTCAAGTATTTTGTCTCAGCAATGAGAATAGTAACTAAGACAAAATTCTGTACCCTTCTAGGAGGTTCCAGGTAACTCCAAGATCTGCCTCCATCAATCTTGCCCTGCAGCAAGTCCATTTAAACCAATGTTTCTAATTTTTCCCCAAATAGACATGTAGTAAAATGCATGAGTCAGGGACAAAACGAAACTTGAGTTTTACAGCCCTCTTTTCTACCACATTTCACACCAGCATGTGAGCCTCTAATAGCTTCCAGCCCAGAAATATTTCCAACAAAGTTGTGCGCGACAGTGACTCCTGGAATCTAATGAGAAGTTACGTTTTCCTTCCCTGGTCCTTGCCTCTCAGGGATTTCTTGCTGCACAAGTGAAAGGTTTTTTTGTTGTTTGTTTGTTTTTGTTTTTTCTATTTAAACATCTTGGTTGCTTGATCCAGCCCCTGAATTTACTGTCCTTCTGTCCAGTAAACCCTTCCTTCCTTTGAGCTCCACCCCAGTATCTTTGTCCTTGCTGGTCTCATCAGCTTTCAAACTGGCCTGTGAGTTCTGCTGAAGATAAGGAGTGAGACTCCCTTCCCACTCTCACGCAATGGTGACCCACCTGTTGTGACATCATGATTAATCCCAGTGACAGAAATGACAGCCCCTGTGAGATTATTATTGTTATCATCAAGCACCATTCCCTTGATGCCCTGGTGAACCTGTAGGAAGAAGTGAACACTACAGAGTTATGATCACAAAACAGGTACAGTGTTTAGCGTCTCAAAGCCATTTCTCATGTTTTCACATTTGATCTCCCCAAGGTGGAAATAGCTCCTTCACTGGTCCATTCTCCCTCGCCCCAGTAATCTCTTCTCAACAGAACAGACAGAGTAATCCTATAAATCTGAGTCAGATCATGTCACTGTCCTACTCAAGACCTGACTCACTCAGGGCAAAGGACAAAGGCTACAGTTCTTCTTCTTTTTTTTTTTTTTTTGTGGTGCTGGGGATGGAACCCAAGGCCTTATGCATGCAAGGCAAGCGCTTTACCACTGAGCCACATCCACAGCCCGAAGGCTACACTTCTTATGATGGTCTGTAAGGCTGAGGTCCCTATGAGCAAGCTGATCCTGGAGACCCACTCCAATTCTAGCCACAATGCTGTCCTGATCTTGGACTTTTTTAACTAAAAAAGCTTAATTGTGACAAAATAAATATAACAGAAAGTGTACCATTTTAGCCATTTTAAGTATACAGTTCAATGTTATTAAACATATTCATAATATGCAGTCAGCACCACTACCACCCACCAGGACTCTTTCCAGCTTATAAAAATGAAACTCTGTACTCATTGAACAGTAATTCTCCATTTCCCCTCCCCCAGCCCTGGAGGCCTCCACTCTACTTTCTGTCTCTATGATCTTGATTATTCTAAATGTCTCATGTAAGTGGAATCACATAGTATTTGCCTTTTTGTGACTGGCTTATTTCACTTAGCCTAATGTCTTCAGTATTCAGCCATGTTGGGAAATGGACGAGAATTTATTTCATTGTAGGCATTCTCTACATTTTTATAAATTCATCCACCAATAGGCACTTGGGTTGCTTCTACTTTTTGGTTGTTGTGAAAACTACTGCTATGAACAAAGGTGTACAAATAGTTCTTTGACACCCTGCTTTCAGTTCTTTTGGAAACATATCCCAAAGTGGTACTGTTGGTTCCTATGGTAGTTCTATTTTTTTATTTTCTGATGGGTTGCCACACTGTTTTCTATAGCAGGAGCATCATTTTACATGTCCACCAAAGGTGTGCAAGGGTTGCAGTTTTCCCTTATCTTTATCAACACTTGTTAATTTCTATGTTGTTGTTTTATAGCAGCCACCCTAACGGGGGTGAGGTACTATTCCACGGTGTTTTTGATTTGTATTTCCCTGTGCATTTTTCTAGAGTTAAGCATCTTTTCAGATGCCTATTGTTGGCTTTACATTTGTTGTTGTATCCATTTCAGGAAACTGTTTTTTCCTGGATATCTGCATGGTTCTCTTCCTCAACTCCTTGAAATCTCTGTTTAAAAGTCCCCTTCTCAGTCCCCTTCCTACCTTCTCTCTTTTCACATGTTATAAAACTTTCTTATGTTGCTTATTGTGTGTTTATTGTATGTCCTCAACAGAAAATCAGTTCTGTATGGATAAAGATGTTTTTTACTCAATTCCTACCTTATGGTAAATTTTCTACAGATAGTTGTGGTCAGTCATATTGAATGACTAAACCTCACCTATAGAAGCAATTCAAATGTATTGAGTCATAGCAAAATCAGACTATAGCTACACAAAAAAGCTAGCCTTCCACTAAAGGACACTTCTCTTTCTGTAATCATGAAAGCTGAAAAGTGAGATTTTACCTGTTCCAAGAACTGGATTAGGGCTTCTCGATTACCAAGCCACTCCCGTTCTAATTCCTCTTGGGGGGGAAATTTATTGCAACTGAGTTCCAGTGTGATATCAAAGCAGTTGGTGTGGAGATAATTAAAATCTTGCATTCCTGGGGGGAAAGGGAGTTGGCAGATTTGTACAAATAGGTTCTCACCCCATCTTATCTCTTTTTAATCACAATTTCACACCATGACCTTCATCATCTTCTATTCTCCCTCTTTTTTGTTTTCAAACCAGGGTCTTGCTATGTAGTCCATGCTGCCTTGAACTCACTACATAGTCCAAGCTGACCTTGAACTTGCGGTGATGATCCTCCTGCCTCTGCCTCCTAAGTGCTGGGAATATCTATGCTACCTCTTGATGTGTGTTTACTCTTCTCCATAAATTCTTTCCCAAGGTTCCCAGCTCACATGTATTTCTCTCTTTCCAGTATACTTTATTAATGCCCATTCCATCACTTACATTTTCTGGTTTTTTTTCTACTTCATGACTTAATTTTCCAAAGTCACCTTATTAACTGGACCTGATTATTAAGAGTATATACATGTACTGCTTTTAGGAGAAGATATTTTTTCCTTAAACTATGATGTTCTTCAGACCTGGGGTGAGGGGACTACAGATGAGATTAATATTTTGCTTTCATAGCCTTCACACCAACTGAAAACACAACACTACTATGAAAATAGTTCTCACTGAGAAAGTGATGCATGAAAAAGCATAAGGCAACAGTATTTTATTTTTTCTCCACTAAATGCTTGACTGCTCTGATCTTCTATGTTATTCAGTTGGATGTACTATTTTTAATGTTTCTGATTGTTAAGGTGGCATTTATGTAACAAATTCGTTTGGACTAAAAATTATCCATTTAAAGATGTCTATATTACCCAAAGTGATCTGCAGATTCAATGCAATCCTCATGATTATTTATGAAGAAATAGAAAACTCTATCCTAAAATGTATACAGAATTTCAAGGCACCCCAAATAGCCAAACTAACTTTGAAAAGGAACAAAGCTAGAAGATGCACTTCCTGAGCTTAAAACTTATTACAAACCTCCAATAATCAAAAGAGCATGGTATAAAGATAGACAAATACAGTGGTACCTTGCTTTACAAACTTAATTTGTTTTATAATTTTGGGGACAATAGCTGCACCTGTATTTGTTTGGGGAAGATGGCCATAGCTGTGTTTGTCACCCAATGGCAACTTTATTTGTCACCCAATGCAGAATTTGAGAATAGAAGCAGTCATGAACCAAGGAATTACTGTAGACCAGTGGAATACAATGGAAACTCTTGCAAACATAGTCAAATGATTTCTGACAAAGGTGCCAAGGCCATTCAATTGGATAAAATAGTCTTCAGCAAATGGTGCTGGGAAAACTGGATATCCATGTGCAAAAGAAAGAGGAGGAGGTGAAGGAGGCAGAAGAGAAAAAGGAGAAGGAAAAGAAATGCGACTCTAATAACACCATATACAAAAATTTATTTAAAATGGATTGTAGACCTAAATGTAAGAACTTAGATTATAAAACTTTTAGAAGGAAACATAGGTCAAAACTTCATGACATTGAATTTGTTAGTTACTTCTAGGCTCTGACACCAAAGGTACAGGCAACAAAAAACAAAAGGCAAATTGGAGTTCAGAAAAACTGAAAAATTTTATATAAACAAAGAGAACGTTAACAGAGTAAAAAGGCAACCTATGGAACAGGAGAAAATATGTATAAGTAAAGTCTCTGATAATGGCTTAATATCCAAAATACATAGAACTCCTAAAATTCAACAATAAAAAACAAAAACTATATTAAAAGATGAACAAAGACTCAAATAGGTATTTCTCCAAAGAAGACACACAAATGGCCAACAAGCACATAAAAAAATGCTCAACAGAACTAGTCACTGGGGAAATGCAATTCAGACTACTATGAGATGCAGCTTTGCACCTATTAGGATGGTGTCTATAGATACACACACACACACACACACAAAACACAGGTTCCTCACCAACTGGAACCTGTATGCTAAATATACACTTGATCTCAGCTGAAAGGCCAAGAAGCAGTGTGTGCACTGAATATAAAGTGGTACAGCTGCTATGGAAAACAGTTTGGTGATTTCTTTGAAAAATACAGATGGAATATATGACTCAACAATTCCACTTTTGGAAATATGTCCAAAAGCACTGAAAGCAAGGTTTCAGAGAGATACAAGCACACCCATATTCGTGGCAGCATTATTCACAACAGTCAAAAAGTAGAAACAACCCAAGTGTTCACTGATAGGTGGATGTATAAACACAGTGTAACAGATACAATGGATATCATCCAGCCTTCAAAGGAAAGAAGTTCTGACAGGTGCTGCCACACGCATAAGCCTTGGGAACATCATGCTAAGTGAAATAAGCCAGTCACAAAAAGACAAACAGTGTATGATTCCACTTCTCTGAGGAACTCTGAGTTGTCAAAATCATAACCGCGAGAAGTGGAACGGTGGTCGTCAGGGACCGCGGCCAAGATGAACAGTGCTGGAGGTGGGTGCTGCCGGTTGCACAGCATCACCAATGTAACAGTAAACTGCATACTGAAATGAAGAGAGAAGACTGTATCGTGTGTATTTTACCATAGTAAAAACCGAAACATAATTATCCATTTAGCCAATTTTCACTTGCTCTTGGAGCAGACCAGAGTAAGAGGGAAAATAGTAATTGTAGTTCATTATATTGAGAATCACCTGACGTTCGAACCTTCCAGTGAAACAGATTGCAAGGTCTTATCCCAGAGTTTCTGATTCGGTGGGCCTAGGTGGGGATGGGGTCTCAAAGTTTATATTTCTAACAAATCCCCAACAGGTGTTGATGCTGAGGAGCCGTAGACCCCTCTTGGAACAATCACTTTTGATAAACTAAATCTTGGAGTGGTACCGGCTTAATTTAGAGCACTCACCCTCAGGGGCACGGGCCCTGCTTTCTCAGGGGGGAGGAGGGGAGGAGGGGGAGAGAGAAGAGAAAGAGCAAGTGTAATTTGAAAAAGTACATTTGCTGTTTTTGGTGTGGAGGGTATATATCCTGCTTTCATAATACAAACTGAAGAAATCAGTGTATAACAAAATCTTCTCCCTTGTGTTCAAGTCAGCTTTGGCCGCAGGAAGTCTACCTTCCTAAGACACGGCAGCTCCTTAACTTCCTTGCCGTTTTCCACAGGTGCGGCCAGCGGCTCAGCTTTCACCAGTGTGCTACCTGGGCTGACGCCAGTTCAGACTTGAGAGGATGGGGAAAGACAAACGATTTCTGAAAAAACCTAGCTTTCTGCCTCAGCCTCTTGTCTTTGCTTAGGCGTCCTATGTGCCACAAGTTCATAATGAGAGGTTTATTTTGACCTTGTCCACGAGCCAGGCCCAGAGAATGAGAGAGAACTCTGCTAGAGCTCTCTTCTCTTTGAGGCTATGTTATCAAGGGTCTGTGCCTATGGCGACCTCCTGCTGCGGAGGTGGGCAGTTAGGGTACTGAAGAACTGGTGTTGTCAGGTCAGCTTCTTTGGTTGTCAGTTGTTCTATGAAGCATACTCTACGCCACTTTTAAAAACCTAACATTATAATCCAGGCATTCCCAATTGCTGTACATGTGCTATTTCATTTAAACAATCAAAATTACGAGGCAAATATTATTATTCTAAATTACAGATGAAGAAAACAATGCACTGGGAGGTTACTTAGTCCAAAGCCACATAAGTGGGCTCTTAAGTGGGCAAACTGAGTTTCAACCCATTACTTTTTTTTTGTTTTTTGAGAAATGGGGTCCTGCTATGTAGTTCAGCCTGGCCTTGAACTCACTATGTAGCTCATGGCAACCCTCTCGCCACAGCCTCTCAAATGCTGGGGTTACAGGCATGTACCGCCGCACCTGGATCCAATTTACTCATAACACCCTTCACCAATTGGTCCCATTAGGTCTTTTCCCCTATGCCCTAATCTATTGCATAAACAACCAGTTCTATAGGACCACAGTTTTAAAGAATCACGAGATGACACCAAATGCCAGCCTGAGACTTTTCCATGTTTTCAGGTCTCCATGAGAGTACAAAATGCTGCACTATTCCCATTGGTTCCTTGAGAAAACTGGTCAGTCAAAAGGAGAAATGGGCACTGTTTTACCTAAATGCCAGCACTTCCCAGGACCTTTCTTACCCTTGCTGAGAGAGTACCAGGAAGCCCCATTGGTGATGCCATCGGGAAAGTAATCCCCACAGTTCCAACCCTGGTGCATCCAGCCATGTGCATAGGAGTAGACCTTGGCCAGCTGGAAGGAAAGCAGGCAGAAAGTGACCCTGAATATTCCCAACTCAAATGGCAATGCTTACACTTAAAAAGTATAAGCCAAGAAGCTCTACCAGGTATAAATACTGTATACTTTAGTGTAAGGTCATATGATCAGGGATAGATGGTGTGTGCATATGTGTGTAAGGGTGTGAATGTGGGTTAGTGTGTATGAATACGTAAGCCTGTTGCTGTGTATATATATATATATAAGGGCGTGTAATGTGGACTGGAGTTAAGAGGTCTGCATTCTGATTTTTCCACTTTCCCAGTGCTGTTTCCTCATGTGCAAAGGGAGGGTGCACCAGATGATGCAGTGCCTTCTAATTGTACCATTTTCTAGCTGAATGTTATAAAAGAAATCAAGGAGCAAGTAGAGCAGTAGTACCGTTTATTGGCTGGCAAGAGATACGTGTTGGAAGAATATGTTCAGATTCTCTCTATAATTTTCTTTCATTACTTCTTTTGTTTTGTTTTGAGTTTTGAGATAGTCTCACTGTTGGAGACCACGACAAAGTAGCTCTGAGCAGGATTTAATATTAACCAATTGGCTTTCCACGTTTACTGGTGAGTTGTCTGAAGCTTCGGCACCTTGTCTGAAGAGAGGCAGTAGACTCATAGTAAACAAACCTCTGTGAGTCCCTGGTCGCCCTGAGGCCTGTATTGGCCTGTGAAGCTGTGACATCTCAAAGGACAAGATAAGGCCACAGCTGAGGACGTCTGGCTCCAACCTCAATTAACTTAAAGGAGACTGTAGCTGCAGGCATCTCACTTCTGCTGAGAAGGCCCTCCTGGAGATAACACAGTTCTCCTAAATTAACATAATGTATTACTTGGAAAAGTCCTGCCCAGATTCCCATTTTCTTGAGTATCCCCCTCCTTTGTTTGTAAATCAAATAAATATGGGCTGCCCAGAAAGGTCTTTGTCTAGACTCAGAGAATATCAAAACTGTAAGAGAGTTAGTCCCTGGAGCCCTGAAATCATTTGCATTGTCTCATTTATTTAAACCTTTGCCATCCACTTGCTTGGGAGATTACGGGCCAGCCTGCAATAGCTAAGGGTTACTTAACCCAGTATCTCACTATGTAGTCTGGGCTTCACTTGAACTTGCTATGTAGCCCTGGCTGGCTTTGACTTTGTGATCCTCCTGCCTCAGCCTCCTGAATGCTAGGATTACAGGTGTGTGCCACCGTACCAGATTCTTTGCTTTCTTATACTAGTTGAGGGGCTGGGGGTTTAGCTCAGCGGCCCAGCGCCTGCCTGGCAAGTGTGAGGTCGTGAGTTTGATTCCCGTTACGGGGGGGGGGGGGGATAAAAAGATGACATAGTAGTTGATGAAATGAGATTACTGGAGAAAAAAATATAATAATACACTTGCTTAGTAAAATTTTTGGTATTATTCCCTGTATAATTCATTCCTTAATGACTATCAATATTCATTATATATCAGTATATATGTATTTCATATAGCAATTACATGTCAATGTATAGGTATTTTATATACCACTACATAATTATATAGTAATATATTTGCATATCATATATAATTTTATAATTTAGTTGATACATTTTATTAGAAAATAATAAATTTATTATATTATTCAATATATTTAATACATTATGGATATAAAAATTAGTATATATGTTAATACTGTATTGTTTCAAATAGTTATTTAAACCTTTTTCATGTGCATGGTCTCATTTTCATTAACATAGGCATATTAATATAAAACTGTCAATCAGGTTCCCAGAATCCATATTTAGAAGTCAATAGCTTACCGAGAGCACTATTAGCTTTTTGGCATATTTCGTGTTATTAGATTAGGTATTTTTTACATTGTGGTAATTATATTATGAAGCTTTCCTTTTTTATATTATGAAGCTTTTCCTTTTAATTTACTTTTTCCTGAATTCATGGCTTATTACTTACAGCAAAATGTAATTTAGTAGAGTGTAAGACCCCAACAAGCCGTGGTATTATCTCTTATTTTTTGTGGCCTTGTTCCTACGGGGGTCCTGTGTCACTGATGTGGAGCCCGCCCCGAGCCCCGAGTTCCCCTGGCAGGACACACCGCTGTTCTGCATACCTTCCGGAAAAGCTTATCGTCAGGCGTGGGGGTAGTGGTAGTGCGGTGAGAACTTCGGAGCCGATGTCTGAGGGACTTGTCGTACGGGTAATTGGCCACTACCGCCCCGCCATGGAGGTTGGCTGACAGAACAAAGTTGATGGAGTGCATCCACCGGATCACGGCCCGGGTCTCAGGCTCCACCTGTGACAAGAGGAGAAACTGGCGAGGAAGTTGCAATGGGAGCTGCCCCATGGCCGCTGGGATAATTGTGTTGGGAAGAGGAGGCAGCATATCTGAAAAAGTCAGTCCCACAGGTAGGAGAAGTGTGGCTGGGGAATTCTGACCTTTGGAAACCTGGTTACAAAAATTAAGTTCATAGAACCCCATTTCAGAAGGAAACTTTATGTGGAATTATAATATACTAAGTAGTTACTCTAAAGAAAGCCCTGAATCCATTTGCACTTGCAGTATATATAATTTATAGCCCTCAGTGATTTTTTTCTCCTTTCAGGATGGACATTTAGAGATTATATGGTATTAATGTGTTATTTGCTTCTCCTGGACCCAGGGTCAGCTCTGAAGGCCCCATCTTCCAATCCCAAAGGGGATTGCAGGGACAGTGTTGTGTGCGCCAAGGGTCATACAGCTGGGGAAGAGGAAAAACTGTAAGGGTAAAAAAAAACCCATAAAGTTTAGACTTCCTGAACCTCTTTCTAGAGCCGTCTATAGATATATCAAGTTTACCACATGTGAGAGAAACTTCTCTATAGACTGCTGGAGTTCTCTATCAATAGCTTAGTGTAGTAGAAAGGATGTTGGATTAAGAGTTGAAAGGCTGGGTGTGCTGGCCATGCTAGTACTCAGGAGGCTGAGGCAAGAGGATCTCTGTGAGTTCAAGGTCAGCCTTGGCTATGTAAGTGAGTTCAAGCCCAGCCTGCAATACATAGTGAGACCCTGTCTCAAAAACAAAACAAAAGAAACCCAAAGAGTTGGAAGGCTCAGATTTTAATCCTGAGTCTATCAGTTATTAGCTATGCAGATTTAAATTAGAGTGGTGCTTCATTTCACAAACAATTTGGTTCTCAAACAAAAGCATCTAACATTTTGCTTCCATTCACAAACTCCACATCAGGTGACAAACCAAACCATGGCCATCTTCCCTACACAAACAGAACTGGTGCCATCTTCCCCAAAATCATAAAACAAATTAAGTTTGTGAACTAAGGCACCACTGCATTTTATCCACAAGTGTAATATCTATAAAGCAAAGATAGATAGCACTAATTGATGCATTTACCACACTGATGATCTACTGAAATGCCGGCCATGAAAAACTTCGTGCAACAGGCATGATGGTGCACACCTCTAATCCCACCAGTCTGGGAGGCTGAGGCAGGAAGATCACAAGTATGAACTCAGTTTGGGCATCTTAGTGAGACCCTTCTCAAAATAAAAAAAAAATTTATGAAGGCCTTGTGTTCAATAAGTAACAACTATAATGAGAGAGAGTGAGAGAGAGGCAAAGAGGGGGAGAGAGAAAGAGAGAGAGAGAGACAGAGAGAGAGAGAGAGAGAGAGAGACTTTGTGAAATTGCTAAGTACCATGTAAGTACATGATATTGTTTTCACTTCCTTCACCACTATCACCACTAACATTAAACATTTAGTGAGCATTAGCAGGTGATTCCTGGAGGGCTCTATACTGGGGGAGGGAATAAATACAAAACAGCATAAGATACTGTTGTGGCTTGTATCTATTTGTCCCCTTAAAGCTTCATGCAGCCATAGGTGGGAGTTTCAAAGGTGGCTGGATTAAGGGTGTGATGTTGGAATTATAGGTATGGATAATGGAAACCCCACCCTGTGTGTGGGTGGTACCAATCAATAGGTTTAAAGCGTAGATGGAATACAAAGGGACAGAAAGAAGATATGCTGCTGCTGCTGCTACTCCTCCTCCTGTGGTTGCACTGCTGCTGCTGCTATTTGCTGCTGCTGCAGCTTTCTACTTTTGCTGCTTGTTGCTGCTTTCTTCTGCCTGCCCTGCCATGAACTGTTTCTCCTCTATGCCACCCTGCCTTGGAACCAGCTGACTATAGACTGAAACCTCTATAAACCTCTGAAACCTCTATAAAGAACCAAAATAAACCTTTTCTCCTTTAACTTTTTATGTTGGGTATTTTGTCTGAGCAACAAGAAAAGTAACTAAGACAGATACAAATATTGCTGTAGAAAAATTCACAGAGGTAAGCTGATGTTCAATTTTCCTGCTTGTTTAGTTAATGTGAAGATTATTTAGCAATCTTTCTGCAAGAATTTTTTTTGTTTGTTTGTTTAGACAGGGTCTTGCTATGCAGTTCAGGCTGGACTTGAGCTCACTTTGTAGCCCAGGCTGGTCTCAGACTCGCAATAATCCTCTTGCCTCAGCCTCCTGAGTTCTGGGATTACAGGCATGTGCCACCATGCCCAGCTCTGCAAGAATTTTCAGATGCTGGTTTACTTGCTTCTATTTGCAAATTTTAATCTCCTACCTGATTTTTCCAGTTGTCTGGAAGAGGCAAGTGATGGTTGGGGCCTCCGTACTTCTCATTGTAGTAGAAATAGGTATTGAGGTCAGGGAAGTTTCGGTTTAGGTCCACTCCATTTGCATTGTTTCTGCCGATCAGATATCCAGATGTGTTCGGGCCCTAGGAGAAAGTTGAAGAGATGAAAAATGAAGGTTTCAGACTGAATTTTCTATTTGGAGAACACTGTATAGCTCTTTTAGTTACTTGTTTAATCTATCAAATGATGTAGCATTTTCTTCTTTCACTTACCCAAAGACCCAGCGATGTGTTTCAAATTTTCCTGAAGGCCCATTGCTGGAGCAGAGATCCCAGGAAAAGCTCTAACAAGTGTTGGGTGTTTCAAGACCATAAAAGTGTGGAAACTTTTGTTGTTATTGCTTTATTTTTTGTGAGACAGAATCTTGATATGTAGTTCAGGCTGGCCTTCAACTCACTGTTTAGCCCAGGCTGGCCTCCAACTCCAAGTGATCCTTCTGCCTCAGTCTCCTGAGTGCTGCAATTACTGGCATGTACCACCATGCCTGGCTGATTGCTTTTAAAAAATAACTTTATGGAGATATAATTTACATACCATAAAATTCACTTGTTTTTAATGTATAATTCAAGGATTTTAATATGCTTACAGAGTTGTACAATCATCATCACAATCTAATTTTAAACATTTCTACCACCCTCGAAAGAAATCTTACTCCTATTTAATCACTTCTCATTTTCACTGAAGCCCTAGGTTATCATTTTCTTGTTTTTTTTTTTTTTTTTTTTCTTCCAGTACTGGGAATTGAACTCACGACCTTGTGCTTGCCAAGCAGGCTCTGTGCCACTGAGCTAAATCCCCAGCCCCTAGGTTATCATTTTCTATCTCAATGGATTTTCCTCCTCTGGACATGTCACGTAAGTGGGATTATACATCATGTATTCTCCCCACCCCTCCCACTGTGCCTAATGTTTTTGAAATTTGGCCATGTTGTAGCATGTGTTAGCATTCACTCCTTCTGTTACTAAATAGTTCTATTAAAGAATTTGTCACATTTTATTTATTCATTCACTAGCTGACAGGCTGTTTTAGTTTTCTAGGGCTGCTGTAACAAATTACTACAAAGTGGGAGGCTCTAACAACAGACATTTGTCCTCTCACGGCTCTGGAGGCTTGGAATTCAGGTGTCAGCAGGGTAATACTTTTGGAAGCCTCCCTCTTTGCGTCTTCTTGTTTTGAATGGGTCCAAATCTCTGGTATTCCTTGGCTTGTAGATACATCCCTCTAATTTCTGTCCCCACCTTTACCTGGCCTTCTCCCCGGTGTGTCTGTCTGTCTTTATAACTTCTTTCCTAGAAAGGCATCAATCATACTGGATTTAGAATTCACCCAATCCACTATGACTTCAGCTAATGATATCTATAAAGGCTTTATTTCCAAATAACACCAGTCACAGGTTCCAGCTGAGCAGGAATTGTGTGTGTGTGTGGTTTGTTACTATCAAGGGCACTTGGGATGTTTTCACTTTTTTGGCTAATATGAACAGTGCTGCCATGAGCATTCATGTGTATGTCTTTGGTTGGATTTGTTTTTTTCTCTTTGGATACATATGTAGGAGAACTGCTGGGACATGAGTCTATGTTAACTTTTTGAAAAACTGCTGAGCTGTTTTCCAAAGTGATTGCACTATAGTAAGCAACTCTCCTCCTTTTTAAAAAAATTAGGATCCTTACATTTATTCTGAGAAGTATTAACTTTCTGGATCCCTTAATTTCTCTGCTCATACATTAGATTTTATCTTTATTTGCTCGTGTATTCATTCAAGTCAGTCAGACATTTAATCAACCAACATTTCCTTAAGTCTTTCTCAGTTCAAAATTATCTAATAGACATTAGGGAAAGAACTACCTTTTTTGTTTGTTTGTTTTGTTTTTGCCGGTACCAGGAATCAAACTTGGGGCACTTGCCAGGCAGGTGCTGTGCCGCTGAGCTAAACCCCCAGCCCCTAGAGAAAGAACTAAATGGGACATTATTTTAGCTTTCTAGGCATTCACAGCATACATGGGAGATAAAGAGAGATGTAAATAATTAAATATATAAAGTGGTAGAAAAGAGGCCCATTCAAAATTGAAATGCCATTTAATGTTTTGTGTGGCACTGGAGAAGGGCACTAGAGTCCACTGCAGCCCTGTGAACTGAGAGAGGACAGCTCAAGTTGTTGGCTGTTCCTGCAAGGGTGAATGGATCGTTGAGGGCAGCTGAAAACTCAGATGTCCTACCACTCAGATTTTCCTTAAGAAATCTTCATTGATCGTAGGTTTTTCCTTTTATTGTGACATCTTGATTATATTTTATTCTCAGATCACACTGAGAATGTAACTTTTTAAAAAGTTCTTTTAAGCTTCCTACATCAATTCTGTCCCGGTGGAACCATTGATCCGACTTTTAAGTTTGGCATTCACTTCTAGAACGTGATGATTTTTTTTATGCTTCCAGGAGTTTTCACTGCTTGCACATTCTTAGCAATTTAGCTCTTAACTGTCAGTACTAACAGCTGTGGGCTTCATTAGTTGATCTGTCACATACACTGGTCTTCAGATGGGCAAGAAGTGGCCTGCGGTGTAGCTCAGTGGTAGAGCACTTAGCTAGCATGTGTAAGGTTCTGGATTCCATTCTCAGCACTGCCACTGTGGGGGGAGGGGGCTTTCCCTAAAACAAGTTTCCCTTGACAACAGGGAGGGTGACATAATGGTTTCCTATTACTGCTGTAACAAATTGCCACAGATTTAGTGGCTTTGAACAGCACAAATATATTATCTTAATGGTTTGGGAGATCAGAAGAATAAAATGGGACTCACAGGACTAAAAGCAAGGTGTTAGCAGGGCTATGTTTCTCCCAAGGGCTCTACGAGAGTCTACATCCTGACGTTTCCGGTTTCTAGAGGCCATCTACATCACTTCTTCCATCCTCAGAGGTAGCAACGTAACACCCCCAAATCTCCCTCTGATTCTGACTACCAGCCTCCTTCTTCCACATGTAAAGGACCTTTATGGTTGATTACACCGGATCCACTTATGTAATCCAGGATATTTAAGTCAAATGGTTAGCAACCTTAGTTTCAACTGAAACCTTAATCTCTCTTGCCAAGTAACATAAAAAATTCATACGTTCTATGGATTAGGATGCAGACATCTTAGGGAGGGGCTTATTCTGATTTTCTACTTGTGCCTTTAAAGTCTGGTAGCTAGGAAAATCTCCCCTGTATAATCATGCAGACCGGTTTCCTGTGGACATACCAGGCAGCAATGTTGTCTGAGAACCTGATGGGTCCTCTCATGTTCAAGTTCAAGGTGTGCTCCCTCTGAACAAGAACATGCCAGGAGGGCGGAGAAGACTGGCTTCCCGGACACAGCTCAAGGACTGGTGGGCTGGCAAGAAGTTTCCCCACTTTCTGCTGCTCTTTGTATTACAGAGGATGTGGATAAGGATGAGTTGGTTTCCCAGTTTCCCCAGTATAATATAGGGAAAGCTAATGAAAGAAAATAACTGGGTTGGGGTCTTCCCCCACATTCCTTTCCAATTTTCCTGCTATTTGGAAAACTCAAGTATTGAGGCACATTAGTGGGCCCTTCTCTGTTTTCAGGAGTGGGTAATGTTCTCTTTTTTCATTTGTTGAGTCATTTCAGCAGGAAGTTCTGAGATGGCAAGAGTCAAAGTTGTGTTTGATTCAACATCCTGACTGTATTTCCCTATCTGCCTCCGTTCACCCACAGCCATATTCTCAAGTAGCTTTAAAACATACTTTAACTTAACCCCCTCTAGCTCCCCCACCTTTATTTAAACATAGATTTTAGAAGAAACATATCTATGGTGCAAGGCAGATAAATGCCTGGCTTTACCCTTGAATAGGTCTAGGGCAGGACCTGGGCATCTATATTTCAAAAATCTTCACCTATTATTTTGATGCATAGCCACAAAAAAAATCTATTGATTTAAAGTAAGACACACTGACATTTTGAATTTATGTTAGGAAACAAGTAAAAAAACTCCACAGACATTTTTCTTGCTGTAGACATAACTCCAAAATAAAAAAATTGAAAAGCTTATTATATTAGTAGAGTAACAAACCCTCCAGAAATATAATAAAGAATAAAGAATTGACAATTAATTCCCCACCCTCCAATCTGGGGAAAGTGTGATCTCCTTGGTATTTTCCCCATATACACAAATGGGAAGGTAGTGTGGGACGGAGAAGGGTATTCAGGAATAAGTAAAAGTTCAGGAAAGGGTATATTTTGCCTCATCCCTTCACATCTGGATAGTATTTTCCAGGTTATGTGAGATGGCAAGAGTCGAATTTGTGTTTGATTCAGCATCATATACTGACTCATTGATCCTCACAATAAAACCTTGAGGTCAGGCGGCACAGAACTGAGGCTCAGACCAGCCCACCGGTATTGCTCAAGGTGCTACGGGAGGGAGCCTAATTCTTCATCGTTCACTATATTTCTGTTGGTTCCACCCCCGCCTTCCCTGACATTTATCTCTGAGCAGCGTTCACAGCATGCCAGGGAGCATACTGCCTATTGGGGTTTACTTTCCTTTCATGGATGTAGTTGCTCTTTCTCATACCTGGGCAGCAGCCATCTCATAGCCGTCTGGGTTCATGGAGGGCAGGATGTGAATGCGTGTGCCCTGGATGAGCTGCATGATGCGTTGGTTCCGGTTCCGGAACTCTTCACACAGGAATTCCGACAGCTGCAGCAAAAGCTCTCGGCCCAGCACCTCATCGCCATGCATGTTCCCCACATACTTGACTTCCGGCTCCACTACAAGTGAAGAAATGCACGGGCAGAAAAAGAAAAGATGGGGAAAGCTTGGATGTGCCACTGACCTTGCAGTAGGATCTGTTCAGATCCATTCAATAATGAATGAAGGGAAATCTCAGGCTTTAACTGAGTCTTTGCCAATAGTTCTTGAGCCCCTTCCTAACCGACTGCAACTGCCGACGTTCCCAGAATTCATGTCAGGGCTCATAATGCCTACCATTAATTCAACCTCCATTGTGCGTTGATGTTTATTGTTGTTAATCTTCACAGGCCTGTGAAGTAGGCACTTTTAAGCTCAGACTGAAGAAGAATGGGAGATAAAAGAGGTTAAGTAACATGTCTGAGGACTTTTAGCTAAGAAAAATAATAGAAGTCAAAGCCCAGCTAGCATTTGCTGTGCCATTTACCTTAGCACACTGCTTTGCAGAGACAAATCCTTCAGGATGAGGATGGTATTTCCCTAACACCTCTCTCTAAAGTAGTCTTGGTGATAACATAACCACTGCTGATCATTCCAGTCGAAAACTTAATTTTCCTGGCATGTGGGAAACTAAAATCCCTCCTTCATATCTGAGAAGGCCATGTCCTACAGCACAGAATAAGAAGTTTATTTTTGTCTCAGTACTCTCCTCTTTGATCATCTTAACTGAGAAATCATTCTTACTCTTTTATTTTCATTTATTTATTTTATTTACATACTTTAAAAGAATTTTTTTTAGGGGGTGGGGATTTAGCTCAGCGGCAAAAGTGCCTGCCTGGCAAGCGCAAGGTCGTGAGTTCGGTTCCCGGTACCGGAGAAAAACCAAAAATAAATAAATAAATAAATAAAAATAAAAGGAAGGAGAGAAACCAAGTGACTTTTTTCCCATTCAATATTTTCCTGCTTCTATATCTTTTTTGATTCCACACTCTTCATTTCATTCTTACTCTGTGACATCATCTTGGGTTCTGCTTGTTGGGAGCGAGCTCTTCCTTGACTTCCCTTCTATGGAATTTACCGCAGTCTGCTCTTGGTTTTAACAATTTTTTAAACTATTTTTGACATGCCTTATTTCCTTTATTGGACCTAGCCTTGGAAATGTATATATTTCTTAATTTTCTTTAGAACACAGTCTATTATTGTGTATCTTAGTATTCTTACAGCAGTATTTTCCAAAAGAATGCTTGGAATGCTCACAAGGGTTGTCTGGCAGATTTTCCACAATGTGTGTTCTTTAATCTTAGGGTATTTCTTTGATCTTAGATTTTATCAGCGATGGTGAACCTTTTAGAGCTTTCAGTGACAACAAACAGCTGGCTGCAGCACATGTTCCATAGGTTCACCACTGCTGGATTATGTCTTTCTTGTTTTGCCTGGTGTTAAAATGTCTTTCTTTTAGGAAAGCTTGGTGATAGTAGATGACTGATAGTTTTCTTCATATCCTTATTCAGTAAAATAAAATTTGGAAAAGTTATTTCAGATGCCTTCAATCTCTTAATTTAAAAAAATATTTTATTAGTACACGTTTGCAGTACCTAATTATTACATTTATTGTGGGTAGTTAGTACATGTACATAACGCATCCTAGTTATTTTCCTGCTCCTTACCCCTCCACTCCCTCCCTGCTCCTTCCCGCCGTGGTCCCCTTGCCATTTGCAAAAGCTCTACCTCTATGTTTTTCTAATTTCTTTTCATCTCCTTTTTTCTGCTCTCTTCCCCTCCTTTCATCTCTTGTTCCCCTCCCCATTTGAAAAAGAGCTCCTACTTGCTATTATCTAGCTTTTATTTTGCTCTTTATTTATATCTTGGGTTTTACATAAAAGAGAAACCATGCACTATTTAAACTGTGTGTCTAACATCATGGCCTCAAGGCGCCCATTTTCCTATAAATGCCTCAGATTTACCCTCCTTCATGGCAGAGCCGTTCTCCACTGTGTGTCAGTACCACATCTTCTTTATCCACTCATCTGCTGACACACATTTTGGTTCAATCCCTTTGCCCCCACCCCTGGATCATGGTAATAAATCTCCCACTTGGTCTCCCTGCATCTGCCGAGCCCTAGTAGTCTATTCTCCTAAATCAAGGGTTTATAACAGTTTTCTGTAAAGGGCCGGATAGCAATCCTTTAGGCTTTATGGCCAATGTTGCTTTGCAACTCTTTCAGTAGAAGCAGCCACCAACAGTGCAAAAAACAAACAGATGTGACTGTTCCAATAAAACAATCACCAAAGCAGGTGGCTGGCCTTGGGCTGCAGTTGGCTGATCTCTGTTCAAAGTGATCTTTTAAAAATTTAACTCTGATCACATAATTCTTTAGTTCAAACGCTCAGTGGATTCTCACATTACTCAAAGTAAAAGCCAAAATCTTTGCAAAGTCCTACCATGCCCTACCTGAGCTCCTGTTGCCAGGCACCCCCAAATACCTGGTTCTGTCCTCTTGTTCTCCTCCTGGCCATTCTGCTTGAGACACTGTGTCGCCCTCACTCTCCCTCGTGTGTGTGACGCAGGCTCTGGCTCCTGGAGCCGTGTGTTTGCTCTTCCTTCTGCCTGTCACTCCCCTCACCCCCACATCAGCATAGTGTGCTCCCCTGTCAGATCTCTGCTGAAAACCACCTCAGGGCAGAAGTCTCTCCTGGGCATCGGCAGCCTTCCCAGCTCCTCCTCATACTCCATGGCAATCCTGTCTTTCCTGGTTTAGTTTTTTCTGTAGCATTTATTTCCATTTGACATAATATGTACTTAATTACCCATTTATTGCAATGTTAGTCCACTAGAATTTAGGCCCATGAGGTAAGGTCTTTGTATTATTCTTGGTTGTACTTCTGGAGTCTACAAAAGTTCTATCGGTAAATATTTATAGGATGACTGAATGAAAGGAATGAGTGAATGAACAGCAAAATTGCAGGACTTCAGAGAAAAGAGCAGTCGATGAGGGCTAGTGTATGAAAAGTATCAAGGAAGGCCTTGAATGCTAGAAAATACAAAGGCAACAAAAAGAGGATATGATGAGGGGGACTAACCCTATGTTCACTGACAGCCACAGTAAACGTGGGATCTGAGGAAAAGCAGGTGTCTGCTCTGCAAGTGCAGCTTCAGAACAAGGCTCTTATCCCCATGTAAGAACACGGCATCCCACAGGCCTTTCCTCTATGGGATTTTGAAACTGTCATGGCCAGAATACAGTACGCTGGGGTTTTCAAGAGTGAGAACATTATATCAGTGTTTAGGGAAATCATTCTGGCATCTGAGTGCCAGATGGAAGGTTCAGAGAGTGGCAATGCTTAGGAGCTGGAAGGCGCTTTAGGCATCAGTGCAGTGATTTAGGCGCACTGTGATGGAGGCTGGGTTAGGGCTGGGATGTGGACATGGAAAGGAAAGAGTGATTTGGGGTTGATCGTTTGAAGGAGGAACTGATAAACTTGAATGTCACAATTGCTCTAGGTAAAGCAGCAATTTGAAACAAATGACCATCATTATGCGCCCACAAGTGCCATTGGGTCTGTACTTACAGACATTGGTGCTATCCACAACAGACTAGGAAGTCAAGCAGTGATAGGATGACTCTGCTTTGATGAAAGAATGTGCCTATGAGAAGGGTAAGTTTGAGTATGCACTTTAAAAGTCTGCAAGGGCATACCTCAACACATTAACAATGGTTACCTACAAGCGGTAAGATTGTAGATGGATTTTTTCTTGTGTAATTTCTCATTCTTAACCCAAACATGGGCTGTTCTGATAACAGAAATAAACTAACAACAATAACAAAAATAATCCAATGACTATAGCTAATCCCCCTCTCTCAAGTTCTGTCCAGGACACCATGCTCTCTCGCACTGCCCTTTCCAGGTGAGCTACTCTTAAACCCTCGTTTCTTGGCAAAGCTAGAAGGGTTAATGATTTGTGCAATGCTTCGGAGCCATTGGATAATGAAAGATGACTAACAAGAAAAATAAAAAAAGAAGGGGAATGAGAGGGAGAGAGAACGGTCGGAAAGGGGACAAGACAGAAGAGTCGCTTTGTACTGCTTAGGTATTAAGGAAACAGATCCCAAGGGACAGGGAAAGACTTCTCAGGAGTTAAGGAAGAAGTCATATTTTACAGGCGAAGGGTTCCCTAAACCTTCCTAGAAACGATTCCAGTTACGGTATTTGTAAGGGGAAGGTCCTGCTCCGGACACAGAGAACCGCTCAGGACTTACAGAGCTCGTGAGTCCCAGGGTAATCACTGAATTCCAGCACGTACAGCAGTCTCCCCTTCACGCTGCGCCCGATAGTATAGATCCGCGTGATGTGGGGGCACTGGTTGTGCACCTTGTACAGGGTCCGCACAAGGTCATCGTACCGGTGGTGCCGAAAGGTCACAGGGGCGACCAGCTTGAAGAGAAGAAGAAGGTGCAGGAAGACAGAGAGCAGGTCTGACATCTTGCTGGGCTTCTTCAAAGAGAGCAACAGACATGTGCCTCCTACTCTCCAAATTAGCCTCTGTACCGGTCGGAAACGAAGGGGCCAAGGTCTAGCTTTGCCTACTTTCCCTCCAGGAACTCAGTGTGACAGCGCCCGAGAGGACACTCAGGATTGTCACTCTCAATGCTGAAAATTATTTATGTAGCTCTTGAATAGCCACTCAGCTCTTCACGCTCTTTTCTCCTCCTCTCCAAACCCTGGAGAACCTCTTGAAAGGGTTACTGATTAACTGGACTGTAAACAGACTTCAATAGAGAGTGGCTATAACCCTTAGGTTCCCAGAGGGTTTTGAGAAACTTGGCTGTGCCTGTTCCCTTTGTTACAGCTGACGAAAAGCGCTCCGTCCCCTTTGATCTTACCCACTCCTCCTGCCCTGCATCTCCCCAACCAGAGCTTTTTCTTGTCCCTCTTTTTGCCCTCAAAAATCTTTCAACGGACACCATTCAGAAAATGAAAGTACAAGCTACTGACTGGGAGCAAACAAATGTAAATCCATATCTGATAATATACCTATGCTATACAAAGGACTCTCCACACACTAATAGAAAGACAACAATGCAATTAAAATTAGCAAAAGATTTGAATACAGTACTTCACAAAAGGGAAATACGAGTGCCTAATAAGTGGATTTAAAGACGTTCAACATTACTAGTTACTAAGTGCAAATTAAAACAATGTGAGATTCACTTCATCTCCACTAGAATGGCTGTCATAAAAAAGAAAACAACAATTCTTTGGAGGAAACAGGAAGACAATATAACCCTCACATATTATTGATGAGAACGCAAAACAGTGCAACCATTTTGGAAAAGTTTTGCAGGCTCTTAAAAGATTAAATATATTTTTACTACATAACTCTGAAATTTCACTTCTAAGCATCAACCCAAGAGAATTGAGAACATACATCCACAGAAAAAATTGTATATGAATATCCACAGCAATATTATTCATAATACATAAAAGCAGAAACACCCCATATCCATTTACTGCTGAGTGGATAAACAAAAAATGATGTATCCGTACAATAGAATATTACTTGACAATAAAAAGAAGTGAATTACTAAACATTGTACAACAGAGGTGAATCTTAAATAATGACTACTAAAAAAGGCCAGACAAAATAGACTACACTTTGTATGATTCACTTCACATAAAATGTTTAGAAAGGCAAATATATAGAGAATATATGTAGATTAGAAGTTGCCCAAGGCTAGAAGTGGGAATTTGGAGCAATTATAAATAGACACAAGACTTCCTTTTTTCTCACAGAAATAGCAACAATTTTATTAGGCAGAAATAAGGATATTACAAGATATTTCACATTTGTGTGGTAAATAACATGCTAATCATATACAAGATCAATGTTATCATTTTTAAATTTTAAACAGAAAAAAAGCAAGAAAGAACAATAAAGAAGTTTCAAAACAGGCCAGTAGGAAAATAACCATAATCAACACATTGCATATTGTTATATTCAGAGAACAAAATGTAGCACAAGATATACAAGATACTAGCACAGAACTTTCCCCTCAGTGAACCAAGAGAAACCAGCTATATAACTATCTTAAGTGTCTTATGTAAATTTTCCCCTTCTTTTCTTTCCAAGATTTCTGTTTAGGGTGATAGAAATGTTCCTAAAATTAGATTGGAGTTGTGGCAAGTTGTTGTACAACTCTGCAAATATTCTAAAGTTCATTACACTTATAACAGATCAATTTTATAACGTGCAAATTATATATATATATATATATATATTGTTTGTTTGTTTGTTTGTTTTTGTTTTTTCCAGTACCTGGAATCGAACTCATGACCTTGGGCTTGCCAGGCAGGTGCTGTGCCGCTGAGCTAAATCCCCAGCCCTGCAAATTATATTTCAATAGAGCCATTTTGAAAAGGAAAACAAACACAGCCCCCAGATAACTACATATAAATTTACTATGCAAACCGACGGTTCCATTGCTAGATACCTACTTGAGAAAAGAAAGACATACATGAGAGTGTTCGTGGTAGTGTTATTTTTTATTTTTCATTAGTACGTGTTTGCAGTATATGAGGATCGCATTCCTTGCGGGGAGTTGGTCCGTGGATGTAACATATCTCAATTCCTTTTTCATCCTCTTCCCCTGCCCCCTCCCTCCATCTCTTACTCCCCTTCCCATTCACAAAAGATCTACCTCCCTGTTTCCTATTATCTATCTTTCATTTTGCTCTTTATAGTTTGGGCTTCTCATATGAGAGGAACCATGTGATATTTAAGTTTGTGTCTGATTTACTCCATTTAACCCTATAGTCTCAAGGTGCTTCCAGTTTTCCACAGTTGCCTCATTTATTCTTCTTTATGTCAGAGCAGTCCTCCATTGTGTGTCAATGCCACATTTTCTTTTTCCATTCATCTGTGGATGGACATGTAGGCCGCTTCCAATATTTAGCTCTTATTAATTGGGCTGCTATAAACATGGGCATATATATACAGCATCACTGTAATATGATGTCTTCAACTTTTTCAGGAAGATACCTAGAAGGGAAACAGCAGGTCAAGTGGATTTTCTAGTTCTAGTTTTAGTTTTTTGAGGAACTTCCATAATGATTGTACTAGTTTACGTTCCCACTAACAATGTAGAAGGGTTTCTTTTTCTCTGCACTCTCACTAGCATTTGTTATTATTTGATTTCTTGATGATAGCCACTCTTTATAGAGGAGGGTAGAATCTCAGTGTTGTTTTAATTTTCATTTCTCTAATAACCAGAGATGTTCAACATTTTTTATGTATTTACTGGCCATTTGTATACGTTCTTCTGAGTAGTATCTCTTCATTTCTCTTGCCCATTTTTGATTAGGCCTTTTATTTCAGAGGGGTCTAGTTTCGAATTCTTCATAGAATATATTAGTCCTCTGTCCAATGGCAAATAGATGGCAATTTTTTTTCCCATTCTGTCAGTTGTCTCTTCATTTACTAACTGATTCCTTTGTTGTGTAGAAGATTTTTAATTTAATGTTCCCATTTGTTGATTCTCGCTGCTATTTCTTGTGCAATTGGGATTCTGTTTAGAAAGTCCTTGCCTACACCTACATCTTCAAGAGTTTTACCTATTTTATCTTGCAGCAGATTGTTTCCATTTTAACATTTAGATCTTTGATCCATTTTTATTTTACTTTAGTACATGAGAAGAGATAGGAATCTGGACTCACTCTTGTGCATGTGGATAACCAGTTTTCCAGCGCCATTTACTAAGGCAGCTCTCTTTCTTCCAGTGTGTGCTTTGGCCCTTTTGTCAAAGATCAAGTAGCTGAATGTGCCTGGGGTTGTTTCTGAATCCTCTGTTCTTCCATTGACCTGCTTGTCTGCTTTGTGCCAGTACCGTCCTGTTTTTATTGTTGTAGCTTTGTAATATAACTTGAAATCTCAGATTGTGGTGCTTCCTATAGCAGCATTATTCATAAATTCAAAGTGGAAACTACTCAGATGTACTAATTGGAAAATAGAAAATTAAAATATGGCATATCCATACAATTGAACACTATTCATCAATAAAAAGGAATGAAATATTAGTACTAGGCTACAACATGAAGGAATTTAAAAAATACTATGCTAAATGAAAAAGGCAGAAACAATAAACTACATATTGTATGATTCTCTTTATATGAAATATCCTGTAAAAGGTAAACTAGTAGAATTGGAAAGTAAAATTGTTTGCCTGCAGGTAGAGATGGGATTGAAGATTAGCCATAAATAGTCAGGAGGGATCTTACTAGAGTGAGGGAAATGTTCTAAACCTGGATGATGGTGAAGATTGCATAAACTGGTAAATTTACTCACTTAATTGTAAAATGTGAATTTTGTGGTATGTAAATTATACCTCAGTAATTGTTTAAAGAGAATAAAAAATAATAAAAAAATTAGAAACAATACAGAATTTCACTAAACAACATGATAGGAATTCAACAATGATTGTTATATTGCATATTGTTGCCTTCAAATTAGTTGTTCAGATTATCAGACATAAGCATGCAAAATTGGTCAAAAAAGTTAAAAAGAAGAAAAAAATTTAAGTATTAACTGTTCCTTTCCACAGACCAGTAGAAATCAGCAGTACAATTATTCCAGCTATCTTATATATAGGAATGGATAAAAAAGATGTGGTATTTTTATGCAATGGAATATTACTCAGCTATAAAAAAGATAAGCTGCAGGCTTTTATAGGTAAATGAATTTAATTACAGACCATACTCATAAATGAAATAAATCAGATTCACATGTGTAAACATTATATTGTCTCCCTAGTATAAGAACCTAAAAGAGTAAATAAAATCTGAAAGGTACAATAGATACTGTGAAAGGGAAAGAAACTGGTCACAGGGAAGGAATAACTGGGATGAAGGAAAGGAGAAAAGAAAGAAAGAAGGAAGGGAAAAATATATACATGAAGATACTCAGTAATTTTTTTTAAAGTTTCAGTGGCTTTCAATGCACTATCATGTAAAATCCAAACCGAAGCCTGGCTTCCGCAGTCCTTCCTATCAGATCCACTTATGCCTTATCATCCTGCCCGTCGCTCCAGTCACTCTGCCTATGGCCTTCTGTGCATGCCCTCATTGCAGACTTCCCTGTCACCATCCATGCTGTTTCCCTAAGGAGATGACCCAGGTCTGGATCCGGAGTCTCTCTCCTCCCTTTGCAACTGCTGCTATAGCCTTTGTTTCTCCAAAGCTATGGCTTTGCCTGTTTTGCATTGAACTCAGTGCCCTTTTCTGGTATTAGGGCAGAGGGTAGCCCTCTTGAACCACTGTTTGCTTCCTGAAGCCTGATCATCAGCCTCTAGTTAGGAGCCCAGCACAGGTATCAATATTTGTTGCCTGGGGGCTGGGGATTTAGCTCAGCGGCAAAGCGCCTGCCTGGCAAGCGCAAGGTCGTGAGTTCGGTTCCTGGTACTGGAGAAAAACAAAAAAAAAAAAAAAATATTTGTTGCCTGAATAATGGCCAAAGCCATTATTGACTTATCCCCTTACATCCAGTAGTCCTGTCTTTAGTTAATTTTCCCAAGGAAAACCTATGCTTTTATAATTGGTCAGTAAAAGCAGCTAATTCCTCTTGCATATTTTGGGTGAACACATAATATATCTCGTCCATTGTAGCTC